GAGGGAAGGGAGGGAGCGAGGAGGAGGAAGAGAGTCGAGAGGGGAGCTGAAGGCACGGTCAAAGAGAAAGGTTTTGAGACCGGCCTTGAAGGAGGAAAGGGAGGAAGCGGCGAAGGCACTGGGGGATGGAGTTCCAGAGCCTCGGGCTGAGAGGCTGAAGGCCCGACCACCGATGGTAGGGCGGTTGGGGCGGGGGACGTGGAGCAGACCGGAGCCAGAGGAACGGAGGGTACGGGCAGGTAGGTAGGGGGATAGTAGGTTGGAGAGGTAGGAGGGAGCAAGGCCGTGAATGGCCTTGTAGGTGAGGATGAGGATCTTGAAATCAATCCTCTGGGGGATGGGGAGCCAGTGGAGGCGAGCGAGGGTGGGAGTGATGTGGTCCCGAAGCCTGGTGCGGGACAGTACACGAGCTGCAGAGTTCTGAATGACCTGCAGTGTGGAGGGAGGTGCCGGGAAGGCCGGCGAGGAGAGAGTTCCCATAGTCCAGCCTTGAGGTGACAAAGGCGTGAACCAGGGTTTCAGCAGCGTGAGGGGTGAGGTAATGCCGTAGTCTGGCGATGTTCCGGAGGTGATGGAAGGCGGTGCCAGTTGTGGTGCGGATGTGAGGGAGAAAGGACAGCTCAGGGTCGAACAAAACGCCGAGGTTCCTGATGGCTTTGAGAGGTGGAGAGTGCGGAGCTGATGGTGTCAGCGCCTGAGGTGCGGAGGCGCTGACGTGAGCCAATCAGGAGGGCCTCGGTTTTTCGCATGTTGAGCTGAAGAAAGTTGTCTCTCGTCCAGGACTCGATGTCGGACAGACAGCTGTCAGGACATCGGTGGTCGTGGAGTTGAGAGTAGAGGAGGAAAGGTAGAGTTGGGTGTCATCCGCATACATGTGGAAGTTAACCCCATGTTTGCGGATGATGTCACCGAGGGGGAGCATATAGAGGGTGAAGAGGAGGGGACCGAGGACAGAGCCCTGAGGGACACCACATGAGACAGTGGAGGAGAAGCCATTCGTTGAGACGAAGTGAAGACGGTGGGAAAGGTAAGAGCTAAACCATTCAAGTTAACTCACTTTCCTCTCTCCATAGATGCTGCCTGACCTGCTGAGTGTTCCCAACACTTCTGTTTGTGTTATTGAAACAGAGAGTCTCACACCCACACGACACGGAGTGGGCGCTGATGTTTGTGAGTTCCTGTTTGGATCAGTCACTGTCTCTGCTCATGTGTCTTGCTGCAGAGAGCACTATGCATGTAGTCGGTGCTGGGTTTAGTGGGGAGGTTTGTGATGCCGGCCAGAAAAGTAATTCATTATCTGACCCCGATCCTTTCACTCTCAAAGCAAAGTGGAATCCCGTAATGTTCCCACACACCGATAGGCTGTGCTGCTGTTTGTCTCTGCACAACCCCCTGTCTAAGCGCGCTCCCCACACCCTCAAATATGGCTTCAAACAATTCGGGATCTGCGTGGCTGAAGTGTTAATGGAGGATTTTACAGACAATGTCCAGGATCCCGCTGACATTCCCCCAAATAAAATCGCTTGTTCACTCCTTGGCTGTTTGTGGGAGCCTGGTGTGTGCAACTCTGCTGCCGCGCTCAACCACAAATACACAGTCACTCCAGTATATCCTATAAAATGTTTTAAGGCATCCTCCTGATGTGAACAGAACTATTTAAATGCAGCAATTGTATCATTATTATTATTAATAATAATTCAAAGCCAAGAAAGCAACCGATAAGCAAACACACAGTGTGACCTGTACCTGCCAACACATCTGTCACTGCCTTTCACGCACTAACACAACAACAAGGGCTTGTTTGTTCCATCAAATGGTGAATAGCTGACAGCATCTGATGTCAAATCAGCAGTTTAGAGGTTGACAATGCTGCTCTGGATTCAGTTTTAGGCAATCAATAAATGAATCAATTCTGGTTTTGGACAACCTTTAAACAAACACAAGGGCAACGCTTCTGAATGAACTGAAGGAGGCGATGAAATATAGGCACGAACAATCCCATTTATAAACAGGAAATAAAGGAAAACAGTGATCATCCAGAAACCCATCACCGCAATCAGCCGGGTGTCTGACACATCAGAAAAACCATCACTGTGCTTAAGAGACCCCAAACCAGTCTGAGAGCTCCATGTTTGCCATCCATGCATGGAAATTCCTGCATTGGGAATGGAATACGCTCTCTCTCTCTGGAGGGATACATCCTGCTTCCCTAATACCGGAAAGTATTAGGTGCAAGTTGGCAAAAGCCAAGGCTTGAGGATCCCAGAGTTTGCGTTGGGGTAACTGCTGGAGTCTAAACAGCTAAAAACCATTGAAAACACTATCTGGGAAACGTTCCCACTGCTTTAAGGCTTTGGCAAGCAGGAGCTGAGTGGAAGGATTCCCAGCCTGGCTGTGCTGTCATCAGCAGTGCGCTGGAGTACTGCAGACCCGCCTGGCTCAGGAACCAGCCTGAAGACCATGACAGCGGGTGGGCTCAGTTCTGATCTTAGTGAGATCTCAGTGGTTAGAGCACTCGCCTTGCAAGCGAGAGACCTGGGTTCGATTCCCGGCAGGGCAAAACCTTGGGAAGTTTCCTTACTCCACACACCTGATAATAATCCCTCAAGAGAAAAACAATAATAAATTGGTCACTTAATTCCACGGCTGTTGGGTTTCACCCACAAATATATGGACAATTCACTTTACAGCATATTTTGTGAAGCGCTTTGAGACGTCTAGAAGATGTGATGTCTAAACAACGTGATAAGGCGCTATATCAAGTGCAAAGATTATTATTATTATTATCTTCCACTGCCAGGGAGGGGGCCAGCTCAGCCCAGAGACCCCCCACCCCCTTTCCCAGAAAAGGAGAGTGAAGAAACACTCAGGACTGACATTGAATGGCAGGTGTTTACAGTGCGATAGCCTCACTGACAGTAACACAGGCAGGATAGGGCACTATAAACAGCCACACACAATGAGATTATTTTCGGACACGAGGCAGACCCCAGCCCCCAGTTCCACAGAGAGGGAAAGCCATGGGCTTGGCTCCAGGCCCCAGACTGGCTGTGCAAATAAATAATAACAATAATCCTTGCATTTGATATAGCGCCTTATCACGTTGTTTAGATATCTCAAAGCGCTTCACAGGATATACTGTAAAGTGAATTGACTGTATATTTGTGGGCGAAACACGGCAGCCAATTGCGCACAGCAATGTCCCACAAACAGTCGTGGATTGAGTGACCAATTTATTTATATTGAAGGGATTATTAGCCCCGGAAAAGCGATCCAGCAATCAACTAACAACTGGGTTCATACTTACTGCCGGGTAAACAGAGGTGTTGTGGAGTAAGGAAACTTGCCTAAGGTTTTGCCCTGCAGAGGCCAGGGGAGAGAGAGTTTCTGACTCAGAGGCGAGTGACTGAGCCAGGCTGACACCTGCCTTTGTGCATCGACTAACAACCGGGATCCTATTTACTGTTGGTAAACAGATGTGTCTGTGGAGCGAGGAAATTTGCCTAAAGTTTTGCCCTGCCTGGGAACCAAACCCAGGTCCTCTCATTTGCGAGGCGAGTGCTCTAACCACTGAGCTACAGGCAAACCCAGCAGCTAATCTGTGTCCACAACATCCGGCACATAACACGTGGAGCTGATTTGCCTTAGATGGATCTGGCTGTGACAGCTGGTGTGGTGACCTCTCCCTTGGCAGTCACCCAGGGTCGCTGTGTGACAGGGAGCAGAGGTGGCAGTGCAGGTACATGAGGCATCGAGTGGAAAGGGCTTTGAGGATTTATACAAATATAAAGTAAAGCAACAATGCTGAGTCTATACAAACAATGGTGAGGCCACAGCTGGAGCACTGCCCTCACTGCTGGGGGAGGATATAGGGTGCGGAGGAGGTTTACGAGAATGATCTGAGGGCTGAGAGACGTTGTGGGGGGGGCGGTCTGACGTTGTGGGGTCTGAGGGTAAATAAGGAGAAGCTATTTCTGCTGATTGAGGAGTTAGATGTTGCTTTAATTATTTCATTGGCAATTGATATTGACAATGCGAAGCAAGTATAACAGGATTCTGGGGCAGTGACTGGGCGGACTGTGGAAGTGTAAGGTTTAAATAAAGAATCTAGTGAATCCAAACTGTGTTTGGGATTTACAAACATTCCATCAGTGACAGGGCAGTGCTGGTAAATAGACTCAAAAATAATGACCAGAAGGAGATCTTAAGAGAAACATTTTTCACACAGAGAGTTGTTGAGGTGGGAATGTCCCCCCAGTCAGGTGGTGGAGGAAGAGTCCATGGTGGGGTTTGAGGGGAAAGTAGATGGTGTATGAAGGCTGGAGGCTTGAAGGGGTGTGGGAATAGATAGGGCAGGGCAGTGCCCTGAGAGCCGGTATGGACCCGATGAGCTGAATGATCGCCTTCTACGCTGTAAATGTCTATGATTCTATGAAACCCCAAGTTGGGTTGTTGAACCTGCAGTTATCAGCTGACCCACCAATGCAGTGCTGGGGGGTGTTGAATTGTCCTGGCCTCAAATCCCCCACATACCATTGGCCATTCATTTCATGGCTGTTTATGGGACGTTGCTGTGCACCAATTTGCCAACAAAATACACAGTCACTACACTTTACAGAATATCTGATCGTGTGATAAGGCAAATATCAAACACCAAGGGCTGCTATAATGAAAGTTCTTGAGTTTCAACACAAAGTGAGTGTGTTATCAATGTAAGGTTTCCTTACACTGTGTGTCCGTACCTCCACGATGGGCTTAGCAGAGACCTCGCGCTCACACACAGCAATCTGGCGTCTTATGTTGGCACTCAATGTCATTATAACTGCACTGATAGCTGCTGGTCAGTGCGCAGTCTCCCCACTCTGTATTAACCAATCCACTTGGCGCTAATGCCTACTTTATCCCCTGGAGACTGACTGGCTGGAAATCTTTGCTGGATGTCAAATGCTCCATTAGATTCGCTCCCTCCCTCCTCCTCCGCTCTGGGACTTGGCTCTTACCTGTGATATCACAGAACACAGTCAGTTGATAAACTTTAACCTCTCGAGGTTTAAAGATGACATTTATTTCTGCCGTGGAATTTGCCCAAACGTCTCCTTCCTGCAAATCCAGCACAAAACAAACTCTGTAACCCTCTGTAATAACAGTAATAATAACAACCCTTGCCTTTGATACAGCACCTCATCATGTCAATGAGACGTCTCAAAGAGCTTCTCAGAATATACCGTCAAGTTAAATGGCTGTTTTGTGGACAAAACATGTCAGCCAATTGTTCACAGTGATGTTCCATAAACAGTCACAGATTGATTGACCATATAATTATTTTTGTGGAGGAATGATTCCCCCCAGAAAGCGATCCGCAGATCGACTAATTACCCTCTGGGTAAAGAAAAGCTTCCTGGTGTCTCCACTTGTTTTACTGTTCTTGTCACAATCCTAGATCTGGGTTTATCTTTTTTCAGTCTCATTATAATGTCCGCTCTGAATCAACACTGAAGAGCCTGAGTTTGTCTGATCGTTGCTCACAGCTCATTCCTCTAACACTGGGGATCAGCCTGGTTGCTCTCCTCTGCACTGTCTCTATGGCCTGGGCGGCCCCCAATGGGCTCTGCCGTAAGGGTCAGAACAGCGTGCAGGACTCAAGGTGCAAGGGCTCAACGTTTGGAAGGGAGAGAAGGGATTTGAATGTAAGGAACCGCAGGTCAGGCAGCATCTATGGAGAGAAAAAAGTAACTCAACGTTTCAGGTCGATGACCTTGTGTTACTGGTATAAAAACAGAAGTCGCTGGGAACACTCAGCAGGTCAGGCAACATCTATGGAGAGAAGAGATTTGAATGTAAGGACCCGGAAGGGTCAAATCCCTTCTCTCCATAGATGCTGCGTGTTCTGCTTCTGGTGTCTAAACACTGTGGCGTTTACAGCTGCTCAGCTCGAGGTTGGCTGCAGCATTCGACAAGAGTCAGCAATTATAACCAGTCGAGAGCGGCAAACTGTTTAAAGAGCTGACTGGCGAAATCTATCCTTCCTCTGCCACACAATCCCAGCACGGTTTGTGCTGAGAGGGAAGGTCAGTGAGCAGCCACAGTCAGTCTGGACACAGCCCACTGTGGAGTGGAAGGTTTCTCTCCCAAAGCCTTGGCACAGAGAGCAAAAACAAGACAGTAAGATGAGCTGTGTGGTAGGCAGCACTCCTCACCCACCAGCCCCCCAGCTCCCCAGCCCCCCACCCCTCCAGCTCCCCAGCCTCCCAGCCCCCCAGCCTCCCAGCCCCCCGCCCCCCCAGCCCCCAGCTCCCCAGCCCTCCAGCCCCCCAGCTCCCCAGCCCCCACCCCCCAGCCCCCGCCCCCCCAGCCCCCAGCTCCCCACCCCTCCAGCCCCCCAGCCCCCCAGCTCCCCAGCCCCCCAGCCCCCCAGCCCTCCAGCCTCCCAGCCTCCCAGCCCCCCAGCCCTCCAGCCCCCCACCCCTCCAGCTCCCCAGCCCCCAGCCCCCCAGCCTCCCAGCCCCCCAGCCCCCCAGCCTCCCAGCCCCCAGCCCCCAGCCTCCCAGCCCCCCAGCCCCCCGCCCCCGCCCCCAGCCTCCCAGCCCCCCCAGCCCCCCCGCCCCCCCCAGCCTCCCAGCCCCCCAGCCCCCCAGCCTCCCAGCTCCCAGCCCCCCAGCCCCCACCCCTCCAGCTCCCCAGCCTCCCAGCCCCCCGCCCCCCCAGCCCCCAGCTCCCCAGCCCCCCACACCTCCAGCTCCCCAGCCTCCCAGCTCCCCAGCCTCCCAGGCCCCCAGCTCCCCAGCCTCCCAGCTCCCCAGCCCCCCAGCCCCCCGCCCCCCCAGCTCCCCAGCCTCCAGCCCCCCAGCCCCCCAGCCTCCCAGCTCCCCAGCCTCCCAGCCCCCCGCCCCCCCAGCCTCCCAGCCCCCCGCCCCCCCAGCCTCCCAGCCCCCCAGCCCCCCACCCCTCCAGCTCCCCAGCCTCCCAGCCCCCAGCCTCCCAGCCCCCACCCCTCCAGCTCCCCAGCCCCCACCCCTCCAGCTCCCCAGCCTCCCAGCCCCCAGCCTCCCAGCCCCCACCCTCCAGCTCCCCAGCCTCCCAGCCCCCAGCCCCCCAGCCTCCCAGCCCCCCAGCTCCCAGCCCCCCAGCCCCCAGCCTCCCAGCCCCCAGCTCCCAGCCCTCCAGCTCCCCAGCCTCCCAGCCCTCCAGCTCCCCAGCCTCCCAGCCCCCCACCCCTCCAGCTCCCCAGCCCCCAGCCCCCCACCCCTCCAGCTCCCCAGCCCCTCGCTCCCCAGCCCCCCGCCCCCCAGCCCCCCGCCCCCCCAGCCTCCCAGCCCCCCACCCCTCCAGCTCCCCAGCCCCCCAGCCTCCCAGCCCCCCAGCCTCCCAGCCCCAGCCCCCCACCCCTCCAGCTCCCCAGCCTCCCAGCCTCGCAGCCCCCAGCCCCCCAGCCTCCCAGCCCCCCACCCCTCCAGCTCCCCAGCCCCCCAGCTCCCCAGCCCCCCAGCCTCCCAGCCCCAGCCTCCCAGCCTCCCAGCCCCCCAGCCTCCCAGCCTCCCAGCCTCCCAGCCCCCCACCCCTCCAGCTCCCCAGCCCCCACCCCTCCAGCCCCCCAGCTCCCAGCCCCCAGCCCCAGCCCCCCAGCTCCCAGCTCCCAGCCCCCCAGCTCCCAGCCCCCAGCTCCCCAGCCCCCACCCCTCCAGCTCCCCAGCCTCCCAGCCCCCCAGCTCCCAGCCCCCCAACTCCCAGCCCCCCAGCCCCCAGCTCCCCAGCCTCCCAGCCCCCCAGCTCCCCAGCCCCCACCCCTCCAGCTCCCCAGCCTCCCAGCCCCCCAGCCCCCCACCAGCTCCCCAGCCTCCCAGCCCCCAGCCTCCCAGCTCCCCAGCCTCCCAGCCCCCAGCCCCCAGCCTCCCAGCCCCCCAGCCTCCCAGCCCCCCAGCCTCCCAGCCCCCCGCCCCCCCAGCCCCAGCTCCCCAGCCCCCCACCCCTCCAGCTCCCCAGCCTCCCAGCCCCCCAGCCTCCCAGCCTCCCAGCCCCCCAGCTCCCCAGCCCCCCACCCCTCCAGCTCCCCAGCCTCCCCAGCCCCCAGCCCCCAGCCCCACCTCCCCAGCCTCCCAGCCCCCCACCCCTCCAGCCTCCCAGCCTCCCAGCCCCCCAGCTCCCCAGACCCCCACCCCTCCAGCCCCCAGCTCCCCAGCCTCCCAGCCCCCAGCTCCCAGCCCCCCAACTCCCAGCCCCCAGCCTCCCAGCCCCCCAGCTCCCAGCTCCCCAGCCCCCCCACCCCTCCAGCCCCCAGCTCCCCAGCCCCCACCCCTCCAGCTCCCCAGCCCCCCACCCCTCCAGCTCCCCAGACCTCCAGCTCCCCAGCCTCCCAGCCCCCCGCCCCCCCAGCCCCCAGCTCCCCAGCCTCCCAGCTCCCCAGCCTCCCAGCCCCCCAGCTCCCCAGCCCCCCACCCCTCCAGCTCCCCAGCCTCCCAGCCCCCCAGCCTCCCAGCCCCCGCCCCCCCAGCCCCCAGCTCCCCAGCCTCCCAGCCCCCCGCCCCCCCAGCCCCCAGCTCCCCAGCCCCCGAACCCCAGCTCCCAAGCCCCCCAGCTCCCAGCCCCCAGCTCCCAGCCCCCCAGCCCCCCAGCCCCCCAGCTCCCAGCCCCCCACCCTCCAGCCTCCCAGCCCCCAGCTCCCCAGCCTCCGAGCCCCCCGCCCCCCCAGCCCCCCGCCCCCCCAGCTCCCCAGCTCCCCAGCCCCCAGCTCCCCAGCCCCCGAACCCCAGCTCCCAGCCCCCCAGCTCCCAGCCCCCCAGCTCCGGGCCCCCAGCTCCCCAGCCTCCCAGCCCCCCAGCTCCGGGCCCCCAGCTCCCCAGCCTCCCAGCTCCCCAGCTCCCCAGCTCCCCAGCCTCCCAGCCCCCCGCCCCCCCAGCTCCCCAGCCCCCGAACCCCAGCTCCCAGCCCCCCAGCTCCCAGCCCTCCAGCTCCCCAACCCCCAGCTCCCCAGCCCCCCAGCTCCCCAGCCTCCCAGCCCCCAGCCTCCCAGCTCCCCAGCCCCCCGCCCCCCGCCCCCCCACCCCCCCAGCCCCCCAGCTCCCCAGCCCCGAACCCCAGCTCCCAGCCCCCCAGCCCCCCGCCCCCCAGCCCCCCGCCCCCCCAGCCCCCAGCTCCCCACCCCCCAGCCCCCCAGCTCCCCAGCCCCCGAACCCCAGCTCCCAGCCCCCCAGCCCCCCAGCTCACAGCCCCCCAGCTCCCAGCCCCCCAGCTCCCCAGCTCCCCAGCCCCCAGCTCCCCAGCCCCCAGCCCCCCGCCCCCAGCTCCCCAGCCCCCACCCCCCAGCCCCCGAACCCCAGCTCCCAGCCCCCCCGCTCCCCAGCCCCCAGCCCCCAGCCCCCAGCTCCCCAGCCTCCCCAGCCCCCCAGCTCCCCAGCCTCCCAGCCTCCCAGCCCCCAGCCTCCCAGCCCCCCAGCTCCCCAGCCTCCCAGTCCCCCAGCTCCCCAGCCTCCCAGCCCCCAGCTCCCCAGCCCCAGACCCTCAGCCCCCCAGCCCCCAGACCCCCAGCTCCCCAGCCCCCGAACCCCAGCTCCCCAGACCCCAGACCCCCAGCTCCCCAGCCCCCGAACCCCAGCTCCCAGCCCCGCAGCCCCCCAGCTCCCAGGCCCCCAGCCCCCAGCTCCCAGATCCCCAGATCCCCAGCCCCCCAGCCTCCCAGCTCCCCAGCCCCCCAGACCCCCAGCCCCCCAGCTCCCCAGACGCCCAGCTCCCCAGCCCCCCAGCTCCCAGCTCCCCAGCTCCCCAGCCCCCAGACCCCCAGCTCCGCAGCTCCCCAGCCCCCCAGCCCCCCAGCTCCCCCAGCTCCCCAGCCCCCCAGCCCCCCGCCCCCAGCTCCCCAGCCTCCCAGCCCCCCAGCCCCCCGCCCCCAGCTCCCCAGCTCCCCAGCCCCCCAGCTCAGTGATGTCCCTGAATATTAAGCGTTTGCGTCAGCAGTTAAACTCCTGCATTATGGAGTCCTGTAAGATGTGTGATTAGAGCACTCGTCTCACAACCTGGGTTTGATTCCCGGGCAGGGCGAAACCTTAGGCAAGTTTCCTTACTCCACACACAGGCCTCTGTTTACGCAGCAGTAAATAGGAACCTGGTTGTTAGTCGTTGGAGAATCTCTTTCCCGGGGGTAATAATCTCTTCAAAATAAATAAATAATAATAATAATTTGGTCACTCAATCCACGACTGTTTGTGGGGACGCTGCTGTGTGCAATTGGCTTCCCCGTTTCGCCCACAAAATACACCGTCAATTCACTTTACAGTCAGCCCAGGGCTCTGATAGTTTTGGCCAATAATAATAATAATTCTTGCATTTGATATAGCGCCTTATCACGTCTTCAAGACGTCTCAAAGCGCTTCACAGAATATTTTGTAAAGTGAATTGACTGTATATTTGTAGGCGAAACATGGCAGCCAATTGCACACAGCAGCGTCCCACAAACAGCCGTGGATTGAAATTACCAAATTATTATTACTATTATCTATAATATTTATATTATTTTCAGTGATGATCCAGCCACTTCACCAAACACAATATCTTGTGGCCTGATACAACCATGTCAGCTAACGTGTCAGTGAGTAATGATCTGCGGAGTGAGAGATGGGATCCCTGTCACTGTGGGACAAACCCCTTCACCCTCCCCCAGATACCCTCCCCCTCCTCCCAGATACTCTCCCCCAGATACCCTCTCCCACAGATACCCTCCCCTCAGATACCCTCCCCCTCCTCCCAGATACCTTCCCCCAGATACCCTCCCCCCAGATAGCCACTCCCTTCAGATATGCTCCCCATCTTCCCAGACGCTCTCCCCCAGATACCCTCCCCTGATATCCCCTCTCCCCAGATACCCTCCCCAGAGGAACCAGAGCGCTGGCTGATGGGGAAGCACTGACCACTGGTTCGATGATAATCGTCTGATCAGAGAAGATAAGCGAATCCTCCTCAGCCGCACGTTGGCGATTCTGGAAGGTTCTGGACAGGATGGAAATCTGGTCCCTGACGGAGGGATCTCCAGAACATTCTGCCAGGAAACGCTCCATCTCCTCCTCTTTGTCATTGTTCAGACTAGAAAAAAAACTGGAGAGAAATAGGGAGTCATCAGCCAGGGAGAGAGACAGAGAGAGGGAGAGGGACAGAGAGGGAGAGAGACAGAGGGACAGAGAGAGAGTTACAGTGCTGGTGAGAAAACAACACACAGACAAAGAAAGAGAGACAGTGAGACAGGCAGACACACAGGCAGACAAACAGACGCACAGCCAGACAGACAGACAGACAGACAGACACAAAGAGACAGACAGACAGACAGACACAAAGAGACAGACAGACAGACAGACACAAAGAGACAGACAGACAGACACAAAGAGACAGACAGACAGACAGACATAAAGAGACAGACAGACACAAGAACAGACGCACAGACAGACACACAAACACAGACAGACAGGCTCGTGTACCGTGTACCATGTCAGGGTACAAAACTGGCTCAGCAACAGGATTCCCACCCACAACCCACAAGGGAGGGTATGTATTACACTGTGTATATGGCCTGTGATTGAAGGGGGTAAATTCAGAACAAATCTGCGGAAACACTACATCACTGAGCGAGGAGTAAACGTATGGAACAGACTCCCGAGGGAGACAGACCGTGGAGGGAGACAGATCGTGGAGGGAGGGAGACCGTGGAGGGAGACAGACCGTGGAGGGAGAGAGACCGTGGAGGTAGACAGACCGTGGAGGCAGAAAATGTTGGTTGTTTCAAGAACAAATGAGATTGATTTCTGCTAAAAAATAATATCTGGGGCTAATACCGTGTATAGTTTGGGATGTGATAAACGGCTATATCAAATGCAAGGATTATTATTATTATAAATTGTTATATTTCAGAGTGTGTGTATTGCAGTGAATTACACACTCACTCCCCCTCGTGTATGGCTCACTATTATTATTTCTATATGTCTGTATTATCACACTGTGTTATACTGTATTACAGTTACAATGTTACGTTAGAACATATTTATCACATGCCTGTGCATAAGGTTCAGTTTGTGTATGTTTGTGTACGTTTGTGTTTTTTTGTATGTTTGTGCATCGATGTGTGTGTACACGAGCGCTAACAATGTGCAGACTGCCTGGGTACCTAATTATACTAATTACTAATAATAGTAATCCTTACATTCAACACAGCGCCTTATCACGTCTTCGCAACATCTCAAAGTGCTTCACAGGATACACTGTAAAGTGTAGTGACTGTATATTTGTATATTTGCGGGCGAAACGTGGCAGCCAATTGTGCACAGCAGCGTCCCACAACAGTCACGGATTGAAGTGACCAATTTATTATTATTTTATTTATTATTATTATTGAAGGGATTATTATCGCGGGAAAAACAATCAACCAACCAACTAACAACCGGGTTCCTACTTACTGCCAGGTAAACAGAGGCATGTGCCCAATGTTTCGCCCTGACCCACCCGGGAATAGAACCCAGGTCCTCTCGCTTGCGAGGCGAGTGCTCTAAACACTGAGCTAAAGGACTCCACGCTAACAATGTGCATCACCATGAGCACATGGTGTGTGTCAGACTGCCTGAGTACTTGTCCAGTACACAATGAGACGCGCGGTTACAGTCAGTGTGTGGGGACTAATCGCCGAGGCCTAACACAATGCTGCTGAACACATGCTGTCCTGCCCTGAGAGGCCGCCTCACACTGATGATGTCCACACGCCCCAGCACGCCGAGAGCGAGAGAGACCCAGCCAGCCAGCCCTTCGAGCCCCGCCCCGGCTCAGCATCACGTACCTGCTAAAAGCTTTTGCTATCGTTTAGCGCACAGCTGCTCAATTACAGCTAATGAAGCTGTGGAGACTAGGTCTGAACTGCCCATATGTTTGGAATGGAACAAAGTTGGAAATAACGCTCAATGCCAGGGACACAGACAACTTGCTCTCCACATATTGTTTTTTTCTCAGATAACTTTGTGACGTGCCTGGCAATGGACCATCAGGAACAAGCCTGTGACGGTTTCTGGTCCGATTCCTGAGCAAGTCAGGTCCACAGACTTCCAGGGCACTCACTGCTGATGGCGGCCCACCCCAGCCCGGCTCATCAGCAGGACCTGGAAGGGCTGACCAGTCACTGGGGGCCAGGAATCTTCCCCCTCAGCTCCTGTTAACCCTACAGCCAAACCCCTACGGAATAGAGTGGTCTTAGCTTGCCAGGCAATGCTCTCAGTGGCAAGCTATGCGGTTTTAGCTGGTTAGACTCCAGCAATCCCTCCATCGGTGGCCGAGCCTTCAGCCACTACGCCCCGAAACTCTGGAACCCTCTCCCTCTATCCCTCCGCCTTGCCCCCTCCCTCCCCAGCTTCAGGTCGCACCTGAAGGCTTTCCTCTTTCACAATGCCTGCGGTCACCTTCCCCTCCCCCCAGCTTGGCAATGTGCTTCATCACTGTCAAGCGCTTTGGGACGCTACCCTGCTTGAGGGATGCTGTGTAAATGCAAGTTGTTCTTGTTGTCCCACAGAGGCTGTTACAGCACATAACAGTATAACTCAACTCCAACTTCAGAAACAACCATTGAAAGGTCCAGATTGTGGGCCTGTCATTAGTGGCTCAACTTTGCTAATTGCACACTGGTCTTTAGCTGTTCAGAGATGTACACAGTGTGGATCACCGCCCACAGCATATGTTTCTCACACTTCAACACAATTAACAAAGCTGCGAAAATTAGCCTGGTCTCTTCGGATTCTGTGCGCCTCCGACACCATTCCCTCCAACAATCTGTCCACACGTACTCCCTCCAGCATTCTCTGTGTGGCCGTCACACCGTTAGTCCATGCCTCTTCCACAGCTCCAATACAGTCACTTCTATAATACACGGCAGCTCCCCATAACCCTGCAGCCAATAACTGTGGGTGGTCCTAGCTGGACAAGCAGCAGGAAAGTTTGACAGACAGTGCTCTCAATGGCAAGCTATGTGGGTTTAGCTGGTTAGACTCCAGATGTTATCCCATCGCAAACTCTGGGCCCCCAAGCCTTGACTCTTGTCAACCTGCACCTAATACTTTCTGGAATTAGGTAAACAGGATATGTCCCTCCAGGGAAAGAGAGAGAGAGAGAGAGCATTCCATTCCAACAATCTATCTCTGGGATTTCCATGTGTAGGTGGGATACATGGAAATCTCAGCTTGGTTTGCAGACTCTTAAGCAGGAGATGGGTTTCCGCATGTGTCAGACACCCGGCTGGGCAAAACAAAACACAAAATGGCTCCAGACCTAACTAAAATACTGTTCAATCAGGTGTTACCCTCACACTATAGTACACAGTGTGCCCAAACCCCACTCTCTCTCTCTCTCCCCCTCTCTCTCACTATGACTTTTTCTATTTCTAGGTCTATTTCTCGCTGGGAGTGAGGAAGATAGTGGCCACACTTGAGAATTTGTGGAGTCCTGTAGCTCAGTGGTTAGAGCATTCGCTTTGCGTGAGAGACCTGAGTTCAATTCCAGGCAGAGGGCGAAACCTTGGGCAAGTTTCCTTACTCCACACAGAGCCTAATAATAATCCCTCCAAAACCAAAACAATAATAAATTGGTCATTTTCAATCTACGACTGTTTGTGGGACATTGTTGTGCGCAATTGGCTGCCGCGTTCGCCCACAAATATGCAGTCAATTCAGTGTGTTCTGTGAAGCGCTTTGGGATGTTCTCCCGACGTGAAAAGCACTATATCAAATGCAAGGATTATTATTATTATTATTATTATTAATAGCAGTTTGCTGACCAGAAGCTGATCAGTAAAGCTCTCTGATACCAGCCCCGTACAGCACCACTCCTCCCCAATGCTGAGCCCAACTGTAGCCTAGATTGTCAGCCCATCTCCTGACATGGGCTTTGAGCCAACACCCCACCTGAGTTCACAGCCCCAGTGTCAGAGTTACATTTACAGTTGGGGGGAGCTGTGTAACCAGAGGAGACAGCAAAGGTCCTACACAGAGGGCTTGATGTGTATGTACATGGGCTGGTAACTGGCAAATGGAGTTTAACACAGATAAATGCAATGCAAGACATATAGGATCCCAGACCACGAAACACCGGCCTCCATGGATTGGATAGAACTGGCCGAGGGGGGAAGCTGAGAGCGATCTCGCGGTGTTAGCTGACTAGTGACTCACTGTGTCACACAGTGTGAGGCAGCAATAAACAGGCAAACAGGACACTGGGCTGTGTTCTAAATCAATTGAGTTCAGATCCCCAGACGTGACCCTCAGGCTGTACAGTGTCTGGTCAACACCTTCAATACTGCAGACAGCTCTGGTCACTGGGACATCAGGGGCCGCTCAGGCCATAGAGACAGTGCAGAGGAGAGCAACCAGGCTGATCCCGGTGTTGGAGGAATGAGCTGTGAGCAACGATCAGACAAACTCAGGCTCTTCAGTGTTGAGAGAAAACGACTCAGAGGAGACCTGATAAAGGTGATAAAACCTGATAAATACAAATGGGATTGAGAAACTTATCAAGCCAAGAGAAGGAGGGCTTTTAGGTGTAAAGGGGGCAACTTCAGGACAGACACCAGGAAGTGTTTCTTTACCCAGTGGATAATTAACGACTGGAACAGGGTTACCAGGAAGGGCGGGTTGAGGCCAGGAGACTGGGACTCATTTAAACAGCAGCTCGATGCTCTGCTGGGGGGATGGTAGTGTGGGTGTTCTGGAGAGATGAGATCAGATGGACGAGAGGGTGTTTTTCACCCAAACCGATCTTATGGCCCAGAGGTATTAGTGTGAGCAGCTGAGCGAGGCTGACATGTATAATAATAATAATAATCCTTGTTTTGATTTAGTGCCTTATCACAACTTTGCGATGTCTCAAAGCGCTTCACAGAATATACTGTAAAGTGAATTGACTGTATATTTTGTGGGTAAAACGCAGCAGCCAATTGCACACAGCAGCGTCTCAAAAACTGTTGTGGATTGAGTGACCAAATTATTATTATTTTGAAATTTGTTTTATTTTTTGGAGATTTATTACCCCTGGAAAAGCGATCTGCAATCAACTAACAACCGGATTCCTACTTACTGCTGGGTAAACAGAGGCGTGTATACAATAAACAGGCTTGTATAAACAGAAAGCTTAAAGCAAATGAGGGTAATGCCGTGTCCATGGTGTGAGCACGCAGACAGCAAACACTTATGGCTCATGAGGCCAGCTTTACTCACTAATAAACACAGCATCACCCTCGCTCACATCAAGTGATGTCTGTATCACAGAAAGGACATCTCAATGAATTACACCAGGAGAATCCAATTACAACCTGAACCTAAAGCTCTGATGTCCCCAGTGAAGGCCTGAGATAATGAAAACAATTTCCCTGAACCCTCCACACTATGTTTTAACCAAGGAGCTGTAGGAAGTTAGAAGAAAATAAAGAAACTGTAATATCTAAAATGCCTTCACATCCGGTATTGAGTATTTGTTAAAAGTATTAAATTGCCAACAGGTCTTGGGAAATTCTGGTCTCCTGAGGTCAACAGAGTTGGATAAAATAATAGCAATCTTTACATCTGATACAAGTGTCAGGAAGACGTCTCCAAGCGCTTTGGCAGGAGTCACTCATAGCATGTAGTGACTGTGTATTTGCAGGTGAACGTGGCGGCCAATTTGCACACAGCAATGTCCCACAAACAGCCACAAAGTGAGTGACCGGTTTTATCTGTGGGATTGTCAGGAGAGAGAAACTCCATTCCCTTTTTCAGCAGTGAGTGCCACAGAATCTTCAACATTCACAGCTAATCAGCCAATCACTCATTTCAGTAAGGAGGTAAGAAATTGTTCAATTTAGGTGATTTTTACATCTTTCACGGTTCATAATCCCTGGTTGACAAACAGATCGGATGTCATTTCCCTGTGAAGTTACAATGTTCTTACTGTATGGTGGGAGAATCCAGAACAGAGGGAATCCAGAACAGGGGAATCCAGAACATCATCTTAATATTAGAGCCAGGCCATTTAGGGGTGAAAGCAGGAGGCAGTTTTTCACCCAAAGGGGAGTGAAAATCTGGAACTCCCTCCCCCAAAAGGCTATAGATTATGGCTGGATCCAATCACATTTTCAAGACTGAGGTGGATAGATATTTGTTAGGTCAGGGTATCAAGGGATATGTGGCAAGGGCAGGTAATTGGAGTTAGGTACAGATCAGTCACGATCTTATAGAATGGTGGAATAGGCTCGAGGGGCTGAATGGCCTCCTCCTGTTCCTATGTATCCATGTAGGAAAGGCAGGGCTTCTGCATGTCAGTCAGTCAGTTGGTCAGTCGATCAGTCGGTCACTGCCCACCTCAGTTTCTGTTGCTCCTCCTCTTCCCTGGTTGCAAACTGCTTCCACTGGAAGTGCACCACCACCTCACTCCTGTTACAAATGGACACTGTCCTCTGGTTGGCCAGTGAGACGTAGGTCTTCTCAATCAGCAGCGAGTTCTTATCCAGCCTGACATTGATGTCTGTTGCAGCGCCGTACAAGCTAACATAGATATCCTCACCTGCAACACGGCACAACAGGAGCCAGATAATAATAATACTCACATTTCATACAGTATTTTTCACATCAGGAGCACGGCCCAGAGTGCTTCACAGGAGTTGCTGTAAAGTGGAGTGACTGTAGGCAAAAGCGTAAGCTAATTTGCACACAGCAACATCCCACAAACAGCTTATCTGGGTGAATGTTGGCCAGGACACCGGGACACCTTCTCTATTCGAATAGTACCGTGGGATCTTTAACATCCACTTGAACAGGCAGACATGTCATTTAAGGACAGCACCTCTAACAACTCAGCACATCCCCAGCGCTGCATTGGAGTGTCAGACTAGAGTATGTTAGTTCCAAGTCACCCAACGTGGGACTTAAACCCACAATCTTCTGACTCAGAGGCGAGAGAGCTACTGACGGAGCCAGGCTGTCATCTACAGCACTGAAACAATGAGGTGAGGGGGGTTTGTGTGGAGTATAAACATCGGTACGGACCTAGATTGATCTGAAAATTCTCGCTAGCTTCCCTTTCACCTCCCTCTATTCCCATCTCTCAGCTCATCATTTTCTCTGGAATGATTTCAGTCCCTCGGCTCCGTAATTTCTCATCAGTATTCAACACTGGAGATTTATGCAAGGTTAAAAACGAGTTTCTTTCAAATTATACACAAGTGGCCTTGAGGTGCACCACACAGCCTCCCCATTTCTGGCAGATCAGACTGACTTACAGTGACTTGCAGTCAAAAGCAATGAGCTGTAATCTGGAGTGCCATTACTTAAACTGCTGCAGATTGCCCAATAATCACTCCCTCCTCCTCTGAGTATACACCTGCTTCACTATCTTCTGTTCCCATATTTTTCCAGCTTCAGACACTGGCAGAAAAGTCCTGCTGATGAGCCAGGCTGGGCAGTGCCTTAGAATACTGCAGACCCACCTGGCTCAGGAACCAGCCTAGAGACCGTCACAGAGGGGGGGCTCGATTCCCACATTCAGTTGCCAAACATGTCACTTGGAGCCAGTTCAGCCCCGATCATCTCGTCCCCACCCACCCCAGGCAGAGAGTCACGAGTTGAGAAGTGAGTTGAGGAGCATTTTCTCCCCAAGCGCACACTGTCTCTCTTCTGTTCCAATATGTTTAATATGAATACTCCTTACATTTGGTATAGTGCCGTTCGTTGCAGGAGACTGTGCCAGTGCGTTTCACAAGCTATACTGCAAATTGCAATGACCGCGTGTTTTCCGGACAAACGGTGCGCGTGTGACACAGGCAGATGTTTCTGCTCCTTTGAATCCTGTGACCGAGCCAGGCTGCCTAGTCTGTCATCAACACAGCGAAGCCACCTGACTCCCCATTGCCTCGCTCTCAATCGATCTCATTTGAACTCCACTCATCACTTGGCTTCTCTCTCTGCACCTGTTTATTTATTCAGTGCTAATTGTCCTCCTTCATACCATCTACTAGCCAGGGTGCTCAGCAAGACCGTAGCTGTTAAAATAGATGATGAGAGTAATAATAATCCTTGCATTTGATACAGTGCCTTATCATGTCTTTGAGATGTCTCAAAGCGCTTCAAAAAATATACCGTAAAGTGAATTGACTGTATACCCAGATATTATTTTCCAGTAGAAATCTATCTCATTCGTTCTTGAAACAAACAACATTTTCTGCTTCCACTGACTGTCTCCCTAGTGAGGTTGTTCCATATGTTTGCTACTCGCTCAGTGAACTAGTGTTTCCACAGATTTATTCTGAATTTACCCCCTTCAATCGCAGGCAGTGTCCTAGCACAAGATAAAACAGCTTTTCATGGTCTACTTGATCTATTCGCTTCAGAATCTTAAAGACCGTAATCACATCTCCTGCTTCAGAGTCCCCAGCGACACCGCCCACACAGTGCTCAGCCGGCTGTCACCAGCTCTAACCTGCTGGCCGTCAGTACAGTAATGAAGCCTCTACAATGGAACCAGTAAATCTTCAGTGAGGCCACAAGCCACAGCTCCTCAATAACGGGAGTGTGTCCAGGCGGAGGGCAGAGCTGCTCACTGTTTTATTTCCAAATCACTGATGTGTTGGGAAGTGCTGCACTGATGGATCAGTGGCTGAGCCACTTTATCATTTTTACGGGAGTTCAATATTTCATTAATTTGTGTCTATTAAGAGCTGGTGTGTGCACTTGATTGGGAATGTATTTCATCTGGTTCGCTTGAGTTAGAAATGATCTGCGTTTAATCAAAGTTTTGTTGACAGATTCAGAATGTAGCCATAACATTTCGTATAGATTGGAGCTCAGTGTGGATAGGGAAGGGAAAGGCAGCAAACACATGTTTAATTAACTGGTTCCAAGTCAAGGTCTCATGTTTGTAAACTCTACAATAATTGATTTCAGCTTCATCTTGCTCTGTGTGAGAGCCAGCCACACACCTCACACCCCGGCTCAGCCCAGAGGAACCTCACCAGTACTTTAACTGATGAGAAATCTTTACAATTACCATTAATCTATAAAGTTCCAACCACAAAAAATACAGTCAATTCACTTTACAGTATATCCTGTGAAGCGCTTTGAGACGTCTTGAAGATGCGATAAGGTGCTATATCAAATGCAAGGATTATTATTATTAATTCTGTTCCTTTCTTTGAACCCTACCTCTATGAACTCCTAACCCCCTACCATCCTGCTCGCTCCCTCTGCTCAGTCGGCTGCGGCCTGCTTCACGCCCCCGCCTCGCTCACCCCACCATTGGCGGGCAGGTCTTCTGCCACTCTGCCCCCACCCTCTGGAACTGCATCCCGCAGTCCCTCCACCTCATGCCCTCCCTTGCGTCCTTCAAGACCCATCTGAAGACCCTCCTCTTCGACCATGCTTTCGATCTCCCTGCTTCCCCACCTGCCCTCCCCCAGCCCGACCCCGACCCCCAGCTCGGGTCCAGTTCAGCGCCTTGGGACATCCTCCTGACATAAAAAGCGCTTTACACATGTTATTTTGTTGTTTTCATTTGTTAATAATTTCTTGATACAGAATGTACTGATGGGACCTTTTAAGCGTCTCAGCCTTGTTCAGTCAGTCAAAATCTCGCCACCAATTCAAAAGGTTGTGGATTCGAGGCACCACGTCAGGGCTTTCAACTCGGTCTCTACCGACCCTCCATTCGGATGCCATCCTTCAGATAAAATAATAATAATCCTTGCATTCGATATAGCGCCTTATTAAATCATCGAGATGTCTCAAAGTACTTCACAAAATATACTGTAAAGTGTAGTGACTGTGTATTTTGTGGGTGAAGCGCAGAAGCTCAGGTGAAATGTGGGATGTGTGGCTCAAGGCCATCACTTCCCAGCTCACAGTTCAGCCCAAGCCAGTCCCTGCTCAACTCACTCTCAGTCCAGATGTCAAGAAAGAGGCCACACTGCTGAGGCTGGGAGGGAGAGTTTGCTGACTCTGTGTCAGTGGCTGTGGTGGAGTGTGGCAAAGAGGTCAGCAACCAGCGTGATACGACAAGACAAGAAGAGAGGAAACCTGACCAGGCTGCTTCTTCGAATCGGACGCTGGGGCCAGGCAACAACCATCCGTGGAGGTGAAGCTCAAAACTCACACGTGTCACATGTCTAATGACCAACTAGTGACTGTCCTGTGGGGGGGAGGGGAAAGCACAGCCTCCTTTGGAGCTGAACTGACTCCAAGGTGACATGTTTGCAAACTGAATATTGAGTCCCTCGTCTCCTTCAAGGTCAATCTCCAGACCTTTCTCTTTGACCGAGGCTTCAGTCAACATCCTAACCCCACCATAACCCTGCGCTTCACCCCTCCCCTCCCGAATCCAACCCCCAGCTCAAACCCTCTGCCATCCAACACTTCTGGACGTACTCCTGACATGAAAGACGCTGTATAAATGTAATTTGTTGTTGTTGTTGAGTTCCACCCTCTAGTCCGGTTCCTAGCCAGGCGGGTGGGCAGTATTCCAGGGCATTGCTGATGACAGCACATTGGCAGGACTTGGTAGGGCAGGGAATCATACAACTCAGCTCCTGTTAACCCTGCAACCAAAGACCTAATGGGGAGGGTGGTCCTAGCTGGACAAGCAACACTCTCAATGGCAATCTATGCAGTTTTAGCTGGTTAGACTTCATCAGTTACTCCAACACAAACTCTGGGGTCCCCAAGCCTTGGCTCTAGCCAACCTGCGCCTAATACTCTTCGGAATTAAGTAGGCAGGATGTGTCATTCCAGTCAAATGGAAAGCAGACTCTCAGGGGGTTGGTTTGGACACCGAGAAGCACTTTGTTGGGTTTCTGCATGTGTTCCTAACCTAATAGGGCTCTGGCTTGCAGAGTTAATAGGAGCTGAATGGGAGGGTTCCCACTCAAGTCAGTGTGTCAGACCCCGATCGAGCAAAAAAGAGAAGCTTCAGTGCAGAGACAGAACATTGCGGGAATTACACCCGATGCTTGGCTGCTTGTTGATGGGATAATAATAATAATAATTCTTGTATTTGATACAGCGCCTTATCACGTTGTTGAGACGTCTTCAAGCGCTTCACAAAATATATTGTAAAGTGAATTGACTGTATTTTGTGGGTGAAACATGGCAGCCAATTGCGCACAGCAGCGTCCCACAGTCGTGGTTCAATTTTTTTAAAGGGATTATTACCCCTAGAAAGTGACGAGCAACTTGGTTCCTACTTACTGCTCGGTAAAGAGAGGAGTGTGGAGTAGCGAAACTTGCTTTAGGTTTCCCCCGCCCAGGAATCAAAACCCAGGTCCTCTCACTTGCGAGGCGAGCGCTCTAATCAATAAAGTACAGGACTCCACAAATGTGTGGTGACACTGTGAAGCTCCAGCCTGAACCAACACAGAATATTTTGCTGCTCAATAACCTGCCGGATGTCTAGGTTAATGCACCATGTTACAGATCCAGCACAATCCACTGGCTGCAGGCAATAATCAATCCCCCGCTGAGGGGGTTTGTATTGTAAATAGAGTATCATTGCTCTCTCAGTGATGGGGAGATCAGTGATACTGTGTTTAGTCAAGTGGACTCCCAGCCACACAGAAATGTTGCCTGGAATAAAACGTTTGGACTAGCTAAACACATTATTAATAATAATAATAATAATCCTTGCATTTGATATAGTGCTTTTCACGTCGGGAGGACGTCCCAAAGCGCTTCACAGAACACACTGTAAAGTGAATTGACTGTGTATTTGTGGGCGAACGCGGCAGCCAATTGCGCACAGCAATGTCCCACAAACAGTCGTAGATTGAAAATGATCAATTTATTATTGTTTTTGGTTTTTTGGAGGGATTATTATTAGGCTCTGTGTGGAGTAAGGAAACTTGCCCAAGGTTTCGCCCTCTGCCTGGGATTGAACTCAGGTCTCTCGCTTGCAAAGCGAGTGCTCTAACCACTGAGCTACAGGACTCCACATTCTCCTGTCGCTCTATCTCGCTCCATGTTGAACACTCAGCTTTCCAGCCCACACACTCCCTCACTCCGAGTTGGCTTCTCCCAAGACTGAAAAGCTCTAGATTATCTAGTCTTTGCTCATAGCTCATTCCTCCAACAACAACAGCAACAACTAACATTTACACAGCGCCCCTCATGCAGGGCAGCGTCCCAGAGCGCTTGACAGTGACGGAGCACAATGTTGAGCAGGGGGAAGGTGGGAGTGGCCATAGGCTCAGTCAAACAGGAAGGTCTACAGGCGCCACCTCACGATGGGGAAGGAGGGGGTGGAGGAATACAGGAAGTGTTCGGGATGCAGTGGCTGAAAGTGCGGCCAGCAATGGTGGAATGGAGGGCACCAGGAATGAGCAGGTGGCCGGAGGCAGTTGAGAGGAGGCAGCGGGTAATAGGTTGGGGAGTGAGCAGGTCAGAGAGGTGACAGGGCATGACGGGATTTGGAGACGAGTGAGAGGATCTTTAAATCAAATCATTCGGTGATAGTGAGCCAGTGGAGCCTGGCGAGGACTGGGGTGATGGGCCGACGGAGTTTAGTGTGGGCGGAGTTCTGAATTTTGTGGATAGTGGAGCTGGGGAAACGGAAGGAGGGCAGTGGAGTAATTTAGGCGGGAGATAACGAACACATAGACGTGGGTTTTGGCTGCATCTGGGGTAAGGTACTGTCTGAGGCTGGTAACACCGGGATCAGCCTGGTTGCTCTCCTCTGCACTGTCTCTATGGCCTGAGCGGCCCCTGATGTCCCAGTGACCAGAGCTGTCTGCAGTATTGAAGGTATTGACCAGACACTGTACAGCCTGAGGGTCACGTCTGGGGATCTGAACTCAACTGATTTAGAACACAGCCCAGTGTCCTGTTTGCCTGTTTATTGCTGCCTCACACTGTGTGACACAGTGAGTCACTAGTCAGCTAACACCGCGAGATCGCTCTCAGCTTCCCCCCTCGGCCAGTTCTATCCAATCCATGGAGGCCGGTGTTTCGTGGTCTGAGATCCTATATGTCTTGCATTGCATTTATCTGTATTAAACTCCATTTGCCAGTTACCAGCCCATGTACATACACATCAAGCCCTCTGTGTAGGACCTTTGCTGTCTCCTCTGGTTACACAGCTCCCCCCAACTGTAAATGTAACAAATGTAATGCAAGGGTTAAGATCATTATTCATCCAATTGCAAAATATTGGAATGGAATATGAACTCTCTCTCTGGAGGGATGCTGCCAGTTTACTGATTTCTGGAGAGAATTAGGAGCAGATTGGCTTGAGTGTGTTATGGTAACTACTGGAGTCCAACTAACTCAAACTGCATTGCTCCCCATAGAGAGTAGCGTCCAGCCATTTGAACTACAAAGAGACCCTGCTTAGCCTCCGCCCACCGTGAGAGAATTGGTTATACTGAGAACACTTTATAATTTGATAGGATATGTGTGAGAGCATTGCCACCATCTTGCTGCCCACAAGCAAGATAGTGGCAATACTCTCACACATATCTCGCTCAGACACACATTCCTAACCCCTGAGCTGGAGGTGTGGAGCTTGAGCAGCAGCTGCTTCCTTTCCTGCAAACCAATCAAGGTGGATTCCAGCTGCTGGATTTATAATAAATATGAAATGAACTGTCCACTGCATAAACAAATTGGGGAGGGCAGGGGGAGAAGATCAAAAGCACAATCGAAGAGGAGGGTCTTGAGATGGGTCTTGAAGGAGGCAAGGGAGGGGGGCGAGGTAGAGAGACTGTGGGATGGAGTTCCAGAGGGTTGGGCAGAGTGTTAGAAAGCCTGTGCCCAAGAGTGGGGCGAGCGAGGCGGGGGACATGAAGCAGGCTGGAGGCCGCTGAGCGGAGAGAGTGAGCAGGATGGTAGGGATTAGGAGTTGGCAGAGGTAGGTGGGGAGCAAGACCATGGAGGGCTTTGAAGGTGAGGACCAGGATCTTGAACTGTATCCTAACCAGTGGAGTCAGGCGAGGAGGGGGTTCTGGATGATCTGGAGCCTATAGAGGGAGGAGTTGGGGAGGCCAACAAGCAAGGAGTTTGCATAGTCAAGCCTCGATGTTATGAAGGCGTGTATGAGGGTGGCGGTGGCCTGCGGTGTGAGACAGTGGCGGAGCCGGGCGATGTTGCGGAGTTGGGGAAGGCAGAGCGGGTCATGGCGCAGATGTGGGGTAGAAAGGATAGTTGAGGCTCAAACAAGAACCCAAGGTTTGGGACTGGCTCAGTGAGGGGGAGTGAGCCCCATGGATGGTGATGCTGTCAGCGCCTGACGTCAAGAAGAAACTTCGCTCTCATCCAGGACTTGATGTCTGACAGACAATCTGTCAGGACAGCAGTGGGTCCTGGAGTCACGGATGGAGGCAGAGAGGCAGAGTTGGGTGTCATCCACATACATGTGGAAGTCGACCTCATGTCTGCGAATGACGTCACCAAGAGGGAGCATATAGATATTGAAGAGGAGGGGACCAAGGACAGAGCCCTGAGGAACGCCGCACAAACAATATACAATATGTTCATTAGGTGTCAGTTAAAGTACCCATGGCACTATCTGAAGGGAGTTTCTCTCTCTCTCTCCCCTTGTCCTGGCCAACAATTTCAAGTAAAATTGATCACTCGCTCCATGGTTATTTTTGGGACATTGCTGTGTGCAAATTGCCTGCTGTATTCACTACACTTTACAGAATATCATGTGAAGCACTTTGTGATGTCTCAACAACATGATGGGGTGCAACATCAAATACAAGGATAGAGCCTGCTAGCTCAATCAGAATGGCTAACAACATGGGAACAACAAGCGAAACAAAGTCTCGTCCAAGATAGAATAAATCTTTGGAACACCCTCCTTCCCCCCCTGACCTCCACCCCCCCCAATCCCGACCCCCAGCTCGGGTCAAAAACACTGACTGTGCAGCGCCTTGGGACGTCCTCCCGACGTGAAAGGCACTATATAAATGCCACTTTGTTGTTGTTGATCCACAGTAGAGGGGGGAGGAGACCAAGCTGGATAGAACTCTTAACACCTTCTCAAGGAGTTTTTCTGTACCAAGATGAAACGTCTGTGGTGTGTGTGTGTGTGTGTGTGTGTGTGTGTGTGTGTTGGGAAGGGGGTGGGGTGGACTGACTGAATGAATCCTTTCCTCTGAATATTAAAATTTCCATCATCTGGCCTTGGGATTGTGATGAAGATGGAGAGGATTTTCTGGGTTTAATGTTGTGAATGGCTGAACATTGCGAGTGGCCTGTCAGGGGGAGATTTAATAATAATAGGAACTGATGTTGGCTGATGGTGCAGATTAAGATGGTAATTCTTCATAAAGACCTGCTCTCTTTCCTCTTTCTGCTGGAAACTGAGAAGTCATCATATTTACTAACTCAATATTCAGATGATTTGCTCCACCTCACAGGCTCCCGTCTCAGCGAGGCTGCTCCACCCATCGCCAAGCCACACACTACACCACACATATTACGATAATAATCCGTACATTTGATACAGCACTCGCTCATGTTCTGGAGGACATGTCAAAGCACTTCACAGGATTTACTGTAAAGTGTAGTGACTGTGTATTTTGTTGGTGAACACAGCAGTCAACTTGCACAGCAATGCCCTAAAAACAGCCATGAAGTGAGCGACTAATTTTATCTGGGGATTGTCGGCCAGGACACTGGGAGAGAGAAACTCCCTTCTCTTTTTGAATAGTGCCGAGGGATCTTTAGTGTCAGATGGGACCTCAGTTTAATGTCTCATCTGGAGAACGGCACCTCCGACAATGCAACTCCACCTCTCCCAGTACTGCATTGGTCAGCCTAGACTGTAGGCGTTCAACGACCTGACGTGGGGTTTGAACCCACAGTTCGTATCACCGCCTACAGCAGTGGTGGCCAACCTGTGACCCCTGAACATTCACCCGAGGCTAGGTAAATCCGTGTTTGATCAGTTGTGTGTTTCCAGGTTTTTCTTAATTGAATATTCCTTGATTTATGGCCTACATCAAGAAATATTCAATCAAGAAAATTTAACAATGGTGGCTTTATTTGATCCGCTTTAAGTCAAGCAATCTGTGAGCTATTGAGCTGCACTTCTGCCGTTTGCTTTGGTGAGGCTCTGAGCTGTGTTGGGCGCTGGTGGGGTCAGTGTGGACGTACCTGTATTGAGGTGTATTATCAGGTCCTCCTTGTGGTCTCCAATCCGTTGTGGAATAAATTCAATCGTGACCTGCACGCTCTCCAGCACGTCCAGCTTTCCGCTGGACGGATCCACAAAGAATGGGCTGGAAATGACCACATCAAAGATCACGTCAGGCAGAGCTTGCTCCCACACATAAACCTCCGCATGTTAAACCTCTAACACAAGCTGACATTTCACTGTTATTTGTTTGGTCGACAGGAAGTGACCCGGGGAAACACAATGATTTTCCATTTGAAGAACTTAAGTAAAGCCTGGATTGTGAAGCACCAAGATCCACCAGGTCCCAATCACTGAATATCTGCCCATTCGGGGACTTCACCCACAGCAACAACAAATTATAATAATAATAATCCTTGTAGTTAATATAGCACCTTATCATAAGAACATAAGAACATAAGAATTAGGAGCAGGAGTCGGCCATTCGGCCCTTCGGCCCTTCGTGCCTGCTCCGTCATTCGATAAGATCATGGCTGATCTTCTCACCTAACTCTGATTACCTGCCCTCTCCCCATATCCCCTAATCCCTCTATTTTTCAAGAATCTATCGGTCTCAGCCTTGAAAATGCTCAAGGACTGACATCTACAGCCTTCTGGGGAGTGAATTCCATAAGTTCACTGCCCTCTGAGTGAAGAAATGTTTCCTCAACTCTATTCTAAAAGGCTGAGCCTTAATTTTCAGACTGTGACCCCCGGTTATAGATTCTCCCACCGGGGAAACAGTCCCTCAGTGACTACTTTATCAGCCCTTTAAGAATCTTATAAGTTTCAATAAGATCCCCCTAATTCTTCTGTACTCTATAGAGAATACAGCCCCAGTTTATTCAGCCTCTCCTCATAGGTCAGTCCCCTCATCCCAGGCACTAACCGAGTGAATCTACGCTGCACCCCCTCGAGGGCAAGTATGTCCTTTTTTAAATAAGGAAACCAACACTGCACACAATACTCTCGGTGCGGTCTCACCAAAGCCCTATACAGTTGCAGCAAGACTTCCCTACTCTTATATTCTAAACCTTTTGCAATGAACGCTAACTGCCGTTCGCCTTCTTAGTTGTTTGCTGCACTGCAAACTAACTTTTTGGGTCTGGTGTACAAGGACATCCAAATCCCTTTGAATACCAACACTATCTAACTTCTCCCCTTCCAGAAAATAATCTGTTCTTTTATTCTTGCTGCCGAGGTGAATAACTTCACACTTGCTAACATTGAATTCCATCTGCCACCTACTTGCCCACTCCCCGCGCCTATCTATATCCCGTTGCAATCTTTTTGCATCATCCTGAGAGCTCACTCTGCCGCCGAGTTTAGTATCATCCGCAAATTTAGACACATTACATTCAATGTCCTCGTCCAGATCATTGATGTAAATGGTAAATAGCTGAGGCCCAAACACTGATCCTTGTGGCACTCCACTAGTCACATCTCCTGCCAATTCGAGAATGATGCGTTTATCACTACTCTGTGCTTTCTACCCGATAGCCACTCTTCTATCCATGTTAATATTTTCCCATTAATCCCGTGGGCCTTGATCTTCAGTAACAGCCTCTTGTGTGGCACCTTGTCAAATGCCTTCCTAAAATCCAAATATACCACATCTACTGGTTCCCCCTTTTCCAACCTCCTGGATACATCCTCAAAAAATTCTAAAAGGTTAGTCAAGCATGACTTCCCTTTTGTAAAGCCGTGTTGACTCTTCCTAATCTTTTTATTAAGGACTCAAGAATTTTCCCTACAACTGACGTCAAACTAACTGATCTATAGTTTTCCCTATTTTCTCTCCCATCCTTCTTAAATAGTGGAGTTACGTTTGCAATCTTCCCATCAATGGGAACTTTTCCAGTATCCACAGACTTTTGGAAGATTATAGACATGCCATCCACTATCGCAGTAGCCACCTCCTTTAAAACTCTCGGATGCAGGCCATCCGGTCCAGGGGATTTATCGGTTTTAAGACCTGACAATTTACCTAGAACCATCTCTTTACTAACGTTAATCTCCCTAAGTTGCTCGCTAACATTGTCTTCTTGGTCCTCTACTTTTGATATGTTTCCAGTGTCTTCTACAGTGAAGACTGTAGAAAAATACTTGTTTAATGACTCTGCCATGTCGTCTCAAAGCACTTCAGAATGTACTGGAAAGTGTATATTTTGTGGCCGAAACACAGCAGCCAATTGCCCACAGCAGTGTCCCACAAACAGTCATGGATTGAGTGACCAAATTATTATTATTATTATTATTTTGGATCGATTATTACCCCCGGAAAGTAAGCCATCAATCAACTAACAACCAGGTTCCTACTTACCGCTAGGTAAACAAGCGTGTGGGGTAAGGAAAGTTGCCTAAGGTTTCGCCAGATACAAGAGGCCTGAAATTCTACCAAGTCTTAGCCCGCAACTTTGTCTTAGGTTTCAAGATCACACAGAATTGTGGAAAGTTCTTAAATTAAGTTTCAATTTGATCTGATATTAATGAATGAGATCACCCCCTAAAGTATTGTCCTAAGTGATGTTTTAATCAGCTGTCGGTTTTATTTGACATTACTTCCCACATGACGTGGTTGCTGTAGTTACTGGTGTTTAGTGTTGGTGTAGTTACTGGTGTCTAGTGTCAGCCCGGCTCAGTCAGTCACACTCTATCTCAGTGCTCGCAAGTGAGAGAATCTGGGTTTGATTCTGGGGCAGGATGAAAGGTTCGGCAAGTTTCCTTACTCCACACGCCTCTGTTTACCTGTAAGTAGGAACCTGGATGTTAGTCAATTGACAGATTGCTTTTCTGGGGGTAATAATTTCTTGCAAAATTCTTTTAAAAAAATAATAACAATTTGGTCACTCAATCCATGACTGTGGGACACTTCTGTACGCAATTGGCTGCCGCATTTCACCACAAAATACACAGTCACTGTATTTTACAATATATTCCATGACGGGCTTTAAGACATCTCTGAGACGTGATAAGGCGTGGGGGACTTTGCCTCACAGTCCAGGCTCCATTGCAATGTTTGGGGAGCACTATAGCACACTGGACACTATTCTGTGTGAAAGACACGATATAAATGCAAGTTGTTGTCGTATTGTCGGAGATGGCATCCATTGGATGAGACATTAAACTGCCTGTTTACGTGAACATTAAAGAGCTCCTAGCACTACAGTATTTGAAAAGAGAAGGGAGTTTCTCTCTCTCTCCGTGTCCTCACAGAAACACAAAATTATACAGCACAGAAGGAGGCCATTCGGCACATCGTGTCTGTGCCGCTCTTTGAAAAGCACTTCCAAATCAACCCCACTCCCCCGCTCTCTCCCCATAGCCCTGATCAACCCCACTCCCCCGCTCTCTCCCCATAGCCCTGATCAACCCCACTCCCCCGCTCTCTCCCCATAGCCCTGATCAACCCCACTCCCCCACTCTCTCCCCATAGCCCTGATCAACCCCACTCCCCCACTCTCTCCCCATAGCCCTGATCAACCCCACTCCCCACTCTCTCCCCATAGCCCTGATCAACCCCACTCCCCCACTCTCCCCATAGCCCTGATCAACACCACTCCCCCACTCTCCGCCCCATAGCCCTGATCAACCCCACTCCCCCACTCTCTCCCCATAGCCCTGATCAACCCCACTCCCCCACTCTCTCCCCATAGCCCTGATCAACCCCACTCCCCCACTCTCCCCATTGCCCTGATCAACCCCACTCCCCCACTCCCCCATAGCCCTGATCAACCCCACTCCCCCACTCTCCCCATAGCCCTGATCAACCCCACTCCCCCACTCTCTCCCCATAGCCCTGATCAACCCCACTCCCCCGCTCTCTCCCCATAGCCCTGATCAACCCCACTCCCCCGCGCTCTCCCCATAGCCCTGATCAACCCCACTCCCCCGCGCTCTCCCCATAGCCCTGATCAACCCCACTCCCCCGCTCTCTCCCCATAGCCCTGATCAACCCCACTCCCCCGCTCTCTCCCCAGAGCCCTGATCAACCCCACTCCCCCGCTCTCTCCCCATAGCCCTGATCAACCCCACTCCCCCACTCTCTCCCCATAGCCCTGATCAACCCCACTCCCCCGCTCTCTCCCCATAGCCCTGCAAACTTATCCTCCCTAAGTAATTATCTACTTCTCTCTTAAAAGTAGTTATCGAATCAGCTTCCGCCAGCCGTTCAGGCAATGCAATTCTCCAGATAATCCTCCAAAACAAAACAATAATAAATTGGTCACTTCAATCTACGACTGTTTGTGGGACATTGCTGTGCGCAATTGGCTGCCGCGTTCGCCCACAAATATACAGTCAATTCACTTTACAGCATAGTCTGTGAAGCGCTTTGAGAGGTCTGGAAGATGTTCAAGGATTATTATTATTATTATCACTCACTTTGTGACTGTTTGTGGGATATTCCTGTGTGCAAATCGGCTTTGTGTAATATTTTACCTACAAAGTACATAGTCACTGCCTTTACAGAATATCCTGTGAAGACATACAGTATTTACAGGAAATAAGGTGTAAGAGAAAAGGAGGGAAATGAGATTTAAACACAGTCTTTTACAGATGTTTGGATCAGATCAGGGTTTCTGGTGAAAGAGTTAAAACAAACAAACCAAACCCCCGCCTCCCTCTCACACCTCACTGCTCAACACCGGCTTCTCTGGGGAGAAACCTCCTCGGTCATTCCCAGTGGCCATCCCATCACAGGACACCCCGCGCCCCCCTCACTGACCCCCCCCACTGACCCCCCTCACTGACCCCCCCTCACTGAGCCCTCCCTCACTGACCTCCCTCGCTGACCCCCCTCACTGCCCCCTCCCTCACTGACCCCCCACTGACCTCCCTCGCTGACCCCTCCCTCACTGACCCCCCTCACTGCCCCCTCCCTCACTGACCCCCCACTGACCTCCCTCGCTGACCCCTCCCTCACTGACCCCCCCCTCACTGCCCCCTCCCTCACTGACCCCCCCCACTGACCCCTCCCTCACTGACCTCCCTCGCTGACCCCTCCCTCACTGACCCCCCCTCACTGACCCCCCCACTGACCTCCCTCACTGACCTCCCTCGCTGACCCCTCCCTCACTGACCCCCCTCACTGACCCCCCTCACTCACTTCCCTCACTGCGCCCCCCTCACTGACCCCCCTCACTGACCTCCCACTTATTGACACCCCTCACTGACCCCCAAACCCCCTCACTGACACCTGAATGACCCTCCCCTCACTGATCCCCCTCACTGACCACCCCCGCCTTCACTGATCCCCCTCACTGACCCCCTCCACTGAACCCCCTCACTGACACCTCACTGACCTCGCTCCTCACTGACGCCCCCCTCTGACCCCCGTCACTGAACCCCCCCCACTCACTGACCTCCCCCTCCTTCCTCCTCACCTGTGTGTCTGCAGGATGAAGGTTGCTGTCCTCTTGCCTATGTTGCGGACAAGGAGAACCCTGTGGGAGGTGTACTTGACGGGGCAAGAGGAGAAGTGCAGGTGGTCAGGGAAATCCAGGATGGCTCTGGCTCCAATGGCTCTCACAGGCACCAGGAACTTCTCCCGCTCTGTGATACACAACAAGTCCTGCGCATAGTCCTGACAGCACAAAACCATTGTTAACATTTACACAGTCAACCTCCTCATCGAAGCCTCTCCTGTCATTTCAGATGGTCCACAGAAAAAGGCAATTGGCAACAATAGCGCCTTATCGTCTGAGATCTTCAGAGATCTGTAGCTCAGTGGTTAGAGCGCTTGCCTCACAAGCAAGAGGACCCGGGTTCAATTCCCGGGTGAGTGCGAAGTGTTGGGCAAGTTTCCTTACTCCACACGCCTCTGTTTGCCCAGCAGTAAGTAGGAACCCGGTTATTAGTTGAAAGGTGGATCGCTTTTCCAGGGGTAATAATTCCTCAAAAAAAATGATTTCTTGTGGGACGCTGCTGTGTGCAATTGGCTGCTGTGTTTCGCCCACAAATATACAGTCAATTTACTTTACAGTTTATTCTGTGAAGCGCTTTGAGACGTCTGGAAGACGTGTACCAAATGCAAGGATGAATATTATTATTATAGATCACAAGGTCAGTTTGGATTTGTCCATTCTGACAGATAACCAAGGGGTTGGTTTGACTGAGGCTGGTTGTCAAATGTGAAAACCCATCACCACGTTTACGAGTATCCAGACCAGAGTGAGAATTCCACCCGTATATATATATATGCCACCTACATACCAAGCCTGTGATGCCACCAGCAGTGAGTGCCCTGGAGTCCTGCAGACCCTGCTGGCTCAGGAACAACAACAAGATTACATGTGTATAGCGCCTTTCACGTTGGGAGGACGTCCCAAGGTGCTGGACAGTGACAGCATTTCAGACCCGAGCTGCGGTCAGGGGGGGAGAAGGGAGGGGAGGGGAAGGGAATGGCCAATGGTATAAGGGCCAATGGTATGGTCGAAGAGGAGGGTTTTGAGGCGGGACTTGAAGGAGATTAAGGAGGGGGTGAGGCGGAGTGATTGGATGGAGTTCCGGAGGTTGGGAGCAGAGTGGCTGAAGGCTCTCCCGTCAATCGTGGGGCGGGTGGGTCGGGTGACGTGGAGCACTTTCTCTCTGCCTTTATCTCTCTGTATCTAGCTCCCTTTCTCTCTCCATCCCCCAGTCCTCTCTATCTTTCTTGTTCTCTTTTATCTCTCTTTACATCTCCCTCTCATTCTTTCTGTAACTCTCTCAACAACAACAAGATTCATGTGTATAGCGCCTTTCACGTGGAGGACGTTCCAAGGCGGCTGCGACAGTGAGTCATTTGACCCGAGCAGGGGGGAGATGGCAGGGAGGGAGGGAAGGGAGGGAGGGGAAGGGGGCCAATGGTAGGGTGAGTCGAAGAGGAGGGTTTTGAGGCGGGAGGAAGGGATTAAGGAGGGGGTGAGGGCAGTGATTGGATGGAGTTCCGGAGGTTGGGAGCAGAGTGGCTGGGCCGTTGGGGCGGGTGGGTCGGGTGACGTGGAGCAGCCGAGCCGGCTGAACGGAGGGACGGGCGGTGGTAGGGGGTAGAGGTCGCAGAAGTAGGGTGGGGCGAGGCACGGAAGGTTGTAGGTGGGAAGGATCTTGAAATCATCCTCTGGGGATGGGAGCCATGGAGGCGAGCGAGTGAGGGGATGAGGTGGGAGTGATGGGTCGCGGTGTTGGTGCGGGAAGAACGGCTGCAGAGTTCTGATGATATTGGAGGGAGGAGGGGAAGGCCGACGAGAGGAGTTTGCCTAGTCCAGCCTTGAGGTGATAAGGCTGAACCAGAGGTTTCAGCGCTGAGGGGTGAGGTAATGGTGGAGTCGGCGATGTTCGGAGGTGAGGAAGGCAGGGCGGTGATGCCTTGGATGTGGGGAGAAAGACAGTAGGGTGAAAGGACACCCAGGTTCCTGGCTTTGAGAGGTGGACCGAGTGCGGAGTGATGCTGCAGGCCTGAGGTGCGAGGCGTGCGGAGCAATCAGGAGGGCCTCGTCTTGTTCACGTTACTGAGAAATTGTCCTCTCCAGGACTGATGTCGACAGCAGTCTGTCAGGACACAGTGGGGCTGGAGTTGAGAGTAGAGGCAGAAAGAGTTGGGTGTCATCCCTACATTGGGAGTTACCCCATTCTGCGGATGATGTCACCAAGGGGGAGCATTAGATAAGAGGAGGGGACCAGGACAGAGCCCTGGGGACCCAGACGTGACAGTGCGGGGACTGGAGGAGAAACCATTAGAGGCAACAATATGGAGACGGTGAGAAAGGTTCTCGTTCTCACTATCTATCTTGTTCTGACACAGGTATACAATTGGATTGAGAAATAAACCCAGAACAATATGTTGGATGTACTAGACAGCAGAAAAAGACTTTAGCGGTGTAAAGAGCAATTTCAGGACAGACACCAGGAAGTGTTTGTTTACCCAGACGGGGATTAACAACTGAAACAGGGTTACCAGGAGGCTCATAACAGCTCACCTTCCCTCTCCCACTCTTCTGTGACCATTACCACATCACCTGGGTCCCAGACACAGCTTTTCTCTCTCTGGTCGGCCTATTCTGTTGCAATCCCTCCCCTTTGTTTTGTATCATTAACACCTCTTTAACCCATCATCCCCATCATCACCAGCCCTTAAAAGCCTCTCCCTCCCAGTTCTGACGAAGGGTTGTGGACCCGAAACATTGACTCACTTGCCTCTCTCCATAGATGCTGCCTGACCTGCTGAGTGTTCCCAGTCGCTCCTGTTTTTGTTTCAGATTTCCAGCATCTGCAGTATTTTGTTACCAGGAAGGGTGGTTCAGCCCAGGACACTGGGATGCATTTAAAAAGCAGCTCAATGCTGTCATGGGGGGAATGGTACGGTGTGTATAGGGTGTGTGTAGGGTGTGTGTAGGGTGTGTGTAGGGTGTGTGTAGGGTGGGTATTCTGAATGAGATCAGATGGGCCAAAGGGTCTTCTTCATCCAAACTTCCATTTTGTCTTTGTTATCTCTCTCTTGCTCTATTTTCTCTCTCTTTCTCCCTCTCTCTTTTCCCATTTTCTTTTTCTCTGTCTTTCTCTCTCTCCGCCCAGTGTAGACAGTAGCTGATGTTTGCCCAGGACACAGAGTGAGAGTTGCACAGGCCATGATAACTGCAGCGCTAACTCTCTTGCCCACACATGTGGAAAATGATCACCTACTTAAATTGTTGTCGTTGCTGTTAGGGACTCCAGAGTGTGTGTTGGGGTAATTGTTACCCAGCTAAACCCGCAGAGCTTGCCATTGATATTGCTGTCTGACAAGCTTTCCCGCTGCTTGTCCAGCTAGGACCACCCTACCTACCCGTTAGAGCTTTGGCTGCGGGGTTAACAGGAGCTGAGTGGGAGGATTCCAGATTGCTAGCTGTCAGCGGTCTGGCTTCATGTAAAATGAATGGCCGGTTGTCAATTGCCCAGGAAGCACTTTAATAAGTGTCGTTACAACAGGATTCCACTTGGGCAATTGCAGCGAGTCAGGCTCTGTACAGACCATGTGCTGAGACCCCAGAGCCTCAGACACACACTAGGGTCCCGGCCACACACTTTCGTTCACTTGGTTTCTCAGCTCTGTTTTACAGAATGTATCAGATACATTATTGATGGTATTATACTGTATGTTAATGCTCACAGGACAGACTGTTCTGGTGATCGTCACCGGCACTGACAGACCCCGGCACCAAGAGAGGATTGGGAATTCTTGGAGGGAAGCATTGCCGGGGTTTGGGTTACTTGCTGTCGGACAGTGTGACAGGGAACAGGCTCCACACTGAAGCCCTCGCTGTAGATTCCACTCTATTAATGTGCAGCTTTACAAACATCCAGAATTTAGCAAAATGTTGAATTGTAATGAAATAATAATAATCCTCACCTCTATGCCTTGTCACGAGGAGGATGTCTCAAAGCGGGTATTTTGCAAGAAAAGCAGGAGCCAGGGTCTAGTAGGCAATATTAACCCCCTCCCACACCCGACACCCATCCACCACCATTTTGCTGTCACTGACCAACTAACAAGAGAAATCACTCAGTGTAAACAAGTCATTAGAGCCCCTGCAAGTCAGCTTCGCTCTCACCTCGCCCTCCACCCCGACTTGAGCCCCTCCAGTCTTTCTGTCCTGCCACCTCACTGCTTATCAAACGACGTCCTCTCTCTCTGACCAGGGCTCCCTCTGCCTCCTTGGTTCTCCCGTGTTCAACACAGTCGACCACATCATTCTCTTCCACGGCCTTTTCTCCCTCAACCATCTCAGTGGGACCGCACTAACCTTGTTCGAGCCCTACTTAAACCAACCACCTCCACTTCATCTCCATGAACGGTTTCTCCTCCTGCCCAGTCACCTGCAGGGTACTCCAGGGCTCCATCCTTGGCCCCCTCCTTTTTTTTATTAAAACCTTCCACGGCCTCGCTCCTCCCTACCTCTGTGACCTGCTGACCAGATCTGTCCCCTCTAAACGGTCAGCGGGCTCCGGCCTGCTCCACGTCCCTCACCCGGGCCTTCAGCCTCTCTGCCCCACCCTTTGGAACTCCATCACACATTCCCTTCACCTTGCCCCCTCCCTTGCCTGATTCAAGGCATGTTTCGAAACCCTTCTCTCCCACCGCGACTTTGGCAATGTGAAGGGAACGTGGGATAAAATGTCATTTTGTATTGGTATTTACTTGCTCCCTTTCGTCAATGTCACCCGGAGACACAGAGTCAACGTCCACATGTAGAACTTCTATTGCGTGTGCGAGTGCGTGTGTTGTGTGGGGGTGGGGGGGCCGGTGGGGATGAAAGTTTGAGTATAACACAAACACAGCACAAGGTACAATCAGCAGCGAGTTTATTGAGCAGCGGAGGCCGTGGATAATATAGGACGTCCCATCACAACCGGCCATTGGGCAGAGGTTATGTTGAACCTTTACAAATTACTGGTTAGGATTCAGCTGGAATATTGTGTCCAACTCTGGGCACCACACTTTAGAAAGGATATCAAGGCCTTGGAGAGGGCGCAGAGGAGATTTACCAGAATGGTACCAGGGAATAGGGATGCTAGTGATGTGGAGAGACTGGAGAGGCTGGGATTGTTCTCCTTACAGCAGAGAAGGTCAAGGGGAGATTTAACAGTTATTCAAGATTATGAGGGTTTTATAGAGTAGATCAGGAGAAACTGTTTCCACTGGCAGGTGGGTCAGTAACCAGAGGACACAGATTTAAGATAACTGACAAAAGAACCAGAGGGGAGACGAGGAGATCTCTTTTTTTTACACAGAGAGTTGTTAGGGTCTGGAACGCACGGCCTGAAAGCGTTGGAGGAAACAGATTCAATAACGACTTTCAAAAGGGAATTGGATAGAGACTTGGAAAGGGAAAATTTGCAAAGATATGGGGCAAGAGCAGGGGAGTGGGGCTGATTGGGTCGCTCTTCCAAAGAGCCAGCACAGGCACGATGGGCCGAATGGCCTCCTTCTGTGCTGTAATATTCTATAAATCTCCACGCTCACAAACAATTTGTACCCCCCACTTTCGCCACGCTCCCCACTACCCTCCCCGAGCCTGAAAGCTATTGTGTGATTAAATACAGTCCGATCAAAGATCTCACCATCAGCTTCTCTGCCCTCCATCTCTGGAACTCCATCCCAAAGTCCCTTTGTCTCGCTTCCTCCCTCCCACCTTCAAGACACATCTCAAGACCTTCCTCTTCGATTGCGTTTTTGGCTCCCTCCTACCTCCCCTCCCTGCCCTCCACCCCTTCTGAGCCCAAACCCCAGGTCAGGTCCAAATCCCAGATTATCCAGCGTCTTGGGATTTCCTCCCATGAAAAACGTAAAATAAATGCAATTTGTTGTTGTTGTCTCTCCATTATTCAGCTGTTCCTCACAGCTCTGCCCTTGCACATGGCAGGGGTGCGGGGGGGAAGAGTGGGAGCTCTCACTGCTCCGAGATCTGAAATTCCACCTGGTCTTAGCTGGGAGATCACGTAGGTCTTCAAGTTTAAGACGTGGAAAAATTGTGTAAAATGTTTCACTGCAGTGAAGCAGCTCCGAGCCAAGGCTGGCTTTAACAATTCTACACAATTCTCTACTGTAATAATAATAAATAATAATCCTGGTGTTTGACACAGCACCATTTAGTTTTTCTCTGAGCTGCCAGTGACTCTGAACAGTCAAGTGACTGTGTGGTTTGGAGGGTGGATGCAGCCACCATTTTGCACACAGCGACGTCCTACAGACAGCTGTCTGTGACCAGACGAGTTCCAGGCTGTGACAAGAAGGGATTTGGGGCCTGTATCATCCTCTCTCTCCCTCCCACCTCTCGCTCTCTCTCTCTCCCCCTCTCTCACTAACCCATTCACTATTAATTCAATAAAAGCTTTTTACATAAATAAATAACGTTTGGTGGAGGCGGCTGTGACCTACTTTCTCTGCATCACAAAGAGCAAATGCCCGGAACATTTCAGACTATAACTTGGCTGTGGGGGTCTCGCTCTCTCTCTCTGTGGCTCTCGCTGTGGCT